CAAGCAAAAACCGGACCTTCTACACTATAATTATCAATGAACTTAACTCTAAGGGAAATTTCAACTTTGACCAAACTACGCACTAGGTGGACACATACTTGAGTGACCTTTCTTGCATATGAAATTGAATAAACTTCCTTCGCTTTGTTCACTTAGCTTTAGTAAATGTCATTACCACTGCTTTGCTAAATAATTGATAATTCATTGAGTAATAGTACATCTAGGGACTTCGGGTTGATTTTGTTGCACTATACTACTCCATGATCTATGGTTACACTTGGCCACTAATTAGAGTGTTAGTAAAGCGAGTCATAATGCGATCTTGTAGGCTGATTAGAGCTGAAATCGTTTGTGTGGTTCAAAGTATCATATTTTTTTTTCTTCCCACTATTCATGGTTGTAGAAGTCAATAGGTGGACAATAAGGGGAACACATTTTTAGGGGAACGTGGCTAGTTTCACTCACCTGATCTACTGTTGATTCAATTGTATCCACATCAATACAATTGTAAAAACAATTGCATTAGTACTCTTTATTACCAACTCAATTTTTTTGGAATTAACTTGCAATTGCATATGTAATTAAATATTATGTTTAAATGATAGAAAAAAAATATAAAATTAAAAATCTCCATTTTTGTAGGGCTTTTTGACTTGTATATGGAATTGCATTTGTTGCAAGCTTGCAAATATGCAATTGATAGCCACATTAATGCAATTTTTGCAATTGCAAACACCCATGACATGTTATCTTGCAATTGAAAATGCAATACCAACGTAGATGCTCTAAGGCGCTTTTCTAGACGTGCTCAGGCGCTATGCAGGTCAAAAACGTCTCAGAGCATCCACATTGGTATTGCATTCTCAATTGCAATATGACATGGCATGGTTGTTTGCAATTGTAAAACAAATTGCATTAATGTGGCTACTAATTATATATTTGCAAGTTTGCAACAAATGCAATTGCATATGCAAATAAAAGGCCTAAAATAATGAAGATTTTTTATTATTTTTTCTCTTTTACTTTATTTTTTGTAATTTAAACATAATATTTAATTACATATACAATTGCAAGTTAATTGCATGTAGGTGAATGAAAGTAATTTGAGGTGAATTACAAAAAAAAATTGAGTTGACAACAAAGAACACAAATATAATTACTTTTGCAATTACATTGATGTGGATGCTCTCACAAAAATCCTAGATGGTGAAAAAGGTGTTTCGAATGATTCAAACGAGCTGCTCCTAGGCATACAAGGCAACGCTTAAGCGGAATAAGGCAGTGATTAGGATGAGATACTCAAATTGTGAAGTTGTATATCAAAAATTAAAACTCACACAAAATGGACAAACAACATCGTAGCGTGAATTCAATCTCTCTCTCTCTTAAGCTGCTAGAGTTGGTTAGGAACAACAAGAAAAAGATTTGAATATGTTTTGACAAGGATAAAGGGGGAGACGTTTTGACACCAAGTATTGTTGTTGATGTAATGGAAACTAGAAAAAAAAATTGAGCTTTGTTGAAATGCAAGAGTGAGAAAGCTTCATGCTAAATAATTTGAGTTCGGAGAAGAAGAGAATATTGAGGAGATTGAGAGGATGATAAAGATGAAGTGATGAACTTGTTGTTAAGTGATTATATGAGCTTGTGTTCCTACTTCCAATGAATTTTTTATTATAGGAAATTGTGAGAGAGTTTTCTTGTTGTTAAAGGTTAACTAAAATACTAATAATTTGAGTCTAGATGTGGAAGTCCTATTTAACAGTTATTTCTATTGAGAATTGTTATTTTACTTCAAAACTAGATGATGCTCAGACGGTAGAAAAAAATCCAATGCTCAAATTACACCTAGCGTCTCCTTGAGGGATTTTTCCAGAAACAGCACCTTTTAAAAAAAATTACAAAACTAGCACCCATCCGAAAAAATTGACAGAAATAGCACCCTTTTTTATGGAACACACCTTAGAGGTGCGTTTTATACATAAACCGCACCTCTCTGGTGCGGTTTATAGTCATGGACCAAAACCGCATCTTGGCCAAGCGGTTTCAGGTCTGACCTACAGAAACCGCTTGGCCGAGGTGCGATTTTGGCCTGACCTATCAAAACCGCACCATGAAGGTGCGGTTTGTTTCTCCCAAACAAAATCGCACCCCCAAGGTGCGGTTTTGGTCAATTAATTTCCGACATGCCATGCAGAATAACAGACGTGGGTTTTCATCAGTGATTTTGCCTATAAAAGACTTCCCGGAAAACCATTTCTCTTCACACCTCTCCTTATCCCTTTTCAATTTTCTGTTAGCTCTATATTTCTTTAGTAGTTTTGCGATTAACGTTAACTCGTAAGTTTATTTTGTATTACTTTTTATTGTTATTTTTTATGTTTGATTTTTATGATATTAACTGAACTACGGTTTTTTCGCAGATGGAATTCCAACCGTTCACGCTTGGCTTACGGTGGAATGGTTACATGGAAGAGACCGGAAAGGGGGTCACCTACGTCGGTTGCAATTTTCAGAAGATAAAGGTCGCTACCAGACCGCTGCTTGAAGACCTCCATCAAATATGCACTAACGTTACTTGCATGGATGGCACGAGAAGAGTTGATCGTATGGTCTACCGATATCCAAACAGAGAAAGTGGGTCATTGTGGCATGAGAAATATCTCATAACCACTCAGGATGAGGTAGATGTCATACTCGAATTCTTGAGGTCCAACAAACTTTCCAAAGCCGAGATGTTCGTTTACACCGAGCCGGTCATAGGCGTTGGAGGTCATTCTGGAAACGGACAAACATCTGGTATCCATGGTGGAGGTGAATTATATGGCGATCATCCCTACCAAAGTTACCATGATCCTCATTCCTATTTTCAGTACCAAGAGCAAGGTGAAGGTCATCATCAATCTTTCCCGTCATATGAAGAAGAAGTTCAACCGGACCTCCCCAACCAATCTCAGTACAACTTCCAATCAGGCAGCGATAGTTTTCACAACTACCATTATGGAGCTGATGAAGGTGCCTTTCATGAACTGGATCAGATGGAGGATGCCCTGCCAGCACCAGCCAGTGACCCCTCCGATGAAGAAGGAGAGAACAACGTCAGTGCAGACAGCTCCGACCCTCTTGAAGGTGCTGATGATTCAGGACCAGAGTCAGACTCAGCTAATGATAATGAGGTGGCTCGTGACCGTGTACCAGTCCCCTACTACAATCGCATTCCAGACGACAATTGGATGGTCGACAGCGACATGGAGCCGCCAGAGGTCCCAATATGGGGTCCACTCACTAGGTTTATGAAGGGCCAACAATTTGGCTCGAAGAAGGAGGTGCGGCACGCCATTAAGACTGAAGCAATGACTCGACATTTTGAATGGCACACAACTCATTCCAACACTAAAAGGCTCATAGTCAGATGTCGTAATCATCACGAGGGGTGCAATGTTAGGATTCGGGCCATCAACAGCAAGAGACACGGCCACTGGGTCATATCCCGTGCGGTGAACACACACACATGTGTGTCATCCATAACTTCCCAAGGCCATCGACAGTTGAAATCCAGGGTGGTTGCTGCGGCTATCAAGCATCTAATTGAGCAAGATCCGGACCTGAAGGTGAAAGTCATAATCGCTGACACTGCAAGTCGTTATGGTTATACAATTAACTATAAGAAGGCGTGGCATGCAAAACAGAAAGCTCTAGCTGTCGTTTTTGGTGATTGGGAAGAATCGTATGCATTCCTTCCCAGGTTAATTTTGGCATTGGAGGCGCTGACCGCTCTGAAAAGATGTGTTCCGTGATTCAAGGCGCCAAACTGCTCCCCCTCGCTGCGTTCTGCAATCCACGGTGCGGATCGCTGACGTGGCATTGCTCCTGCCCGCTAGATCGCCACACAATCCTGCGGTCTGCAAGGCCGCCGCCCACCAAACACAGAACGCACCTTGGAGGTGCGGTTCCCATTCTGACGTGGCGCAAACCGCACCTTAGAGGTGCGTTTTATGTAGGAAACGCACCTCTAAGGTGCGTTCCATAAAAAAAAGGTGCTATTAGTGTAAATTTTTTCGGATGTGTGCTATTTTTGTAATTTTTTTTAAAGGTGCTATTATTGGAAAAATCCCTCTCCTTGAACCCCTATCATTGTTCATCAATGGAAAAGAGCCAAAATCTAAGAATAAGTTTTCAAAGATCTTAGCATCCACTAATATTCATGCTTTCTTTGACCATTCACTTTCCCCTTGAAGTAAATCTCCTCCAATACCTATACCCACAAATCATTCTCGCCAAGCTTTGTTCATACAATTAAGAAAGTGATATAAGAGCTGGTGTGATCAAGTGGTTATATGTTTGAACTTTCACGATCCAAATATTATCAGTTGATTTAAGTACAAGGTATGGTGGGTATGTGCAGACTTCAAGTTTGTAAGTTGACTTCCTTTGATGAGGTGTAAAAGAGTGATGTAATATCCATAATTAGTCTCCTCTCAACAACTCGAGTTATTGAGACCAATTGGTTTAGGACATGATATTAGAGTTGTTTTGTCCTTGAGATCACGTATTCAGGTCCTCACGACCTCTAATATTAATTGGTATATATCTTACCGCACATGGTATGACGAGCATGTGCAAACTTCAAACCCATAAGTTGACTTTTGTTTAAAGGGACGTATAAGAAACTGAATAATTATACAACTTGCTTTGATACGTGGACCTCTCCCAACAACTCAAATTATTGGAAGGAGATTAATTACACATATACTTATTGATTCCAAGTCTCTTTAATCAATAGGCTTGAAGATGGTCTTTCAAATCTCCACATAAAGCCTACTGATTCTTTTTACACCGAAGTCACGCACTACATATACAAGTGTCGGGTGAAAAAATATGAACTATGTTGAAAAATATTGAAGTTATATAATATTTGGTGGATCTTCGAAATTATTATTATGGACCAGTCGATAAGACACTGTTCCCAGGGCCCATTCAGTTTATCCTCAACTGACCAACTCATTACTGATTACTCAACTCCATAACACCAAACCCAAACGCATAAACAAAAAGGGCAGAGCAGCGTAAAGACTTTCCTTCCCTTCCCATTTCTTCTTCTTCTTCTTCCTCCTCGCGTTTCAACGACAAATATATTTCCATTCCCCTACAAGAAAACACCACCTCCAACGGAGAAAAGGGAAAAGGGGCAGAAGTTTTAAGCCACCCTTAATAAGCTCCATCCCCCTCCCCCTCCCCCTCCCCCGTCTCCTCTCGTCTCCTCTTTTTTCTGTCCGAAATTCTAACACTGTCCAACACGTAGTAGTTTCTTCTTCTTTTTCTTTCTTTCTTCGGGGCTCGGCTTTTCGCTGAAGCCTTCCTTCCTCTTCCCCAAATCTCCTAATTGTTCGCATCTCCTCTCTATTTCCCCATTCCTCCCTCCCTCCTTCCAATTTCACCTTACCCATCCTGTGATTCTTCTCTGTAGCTGTTTTCTGTTGAGGAAGGTAAAAAACCACAGATGGGCATGGCGGGGCAGGTGGTGAAAGTGAAGAGGGCGGCATTAGAGGCATGCATGACATGTCCTCTCTGCGATAAGCTACTCAGGGAAGCTACGACCGTCTCTCTCTGCCTCCATACGTGTAAGTTTTCCCTTTTTCCCCAACTCCTCATATTCCATTCTTCTCTTCGTAAAAATGTTGATATGGAGGGGGGGAGTCTTCCCCTTTTGATCTGCGTTGGGTCGATGCGATTTCTGCCTCGTATGATTGTTTATTGTTTCTCTCTGCGGCTTACTCGCGTAGCATTTTCGTTATTCTGCTTCTGCGTTTTCCTCGAATGGTTTTGTTATTTTTGCTTACTTGTGGCTTGGGTGAATTGGATGCCGTCCGGTTATGGAGATGAGGGAAAGGTGAAGACTGTTGCTTTGTTGCGATTCCTGAATTGGGTTATGTTCTGGTTAGGATGTTTTCATCTGGGCTCTTGACTTTTTCCACTCTCGATGCAGTTTTCTCTTTTCGCAGTAACTTTGATTCTGTGTGGGACGTACGATGACGAGCCTACGATATGTCTACTTTCTTTCCTTCTTTTTCTTCATTATGGACTTTTCGTGTCATAGAGTGGTAAATAATGATTAATGAGAGCTTGAACTTGTATGGGAAGCTTTGAGCTTAACCAAAGGCTGATGCTGGTAATGCTGCCACTGGTCAACCGTAGATTGATGTGATATGATTTTACCTCCTGCTTCAACCTTCATGGGTTGAAAGGAAAAGAACACTGTCGTGATGCTGACTGATTTGTTACTCTTTGACTTCCAAGTTTCATGATAAAGTGATAACATCTCGTTGATTATTTCTACATGGGTGTCATCGCAGCTGCTTTAGTTTGATATGGCGGATAGAGTTCGTGGCATTTTGACTAATGTGGTGGTTCTAGTTGCTAGTTGTTTGTTAGTCCTTGCTCCATTCCATCTTGGGATCCCAAGATTCTTTCGTTTGTCCTGAATAAGCCATGGTTGTCAAACCAACAGGAGCTAGGATTATCAGGAGACATACGATTGTCTTTCTTATGACTGCTGATTGACCTTTCTCTCAGTTATTCCCGTCTGATTCCATTCACCAGTTCTATAATGTGTTTTACATTAATTCAAACAGTTTGCAGAAAATGCATATATGGCAGACTCTCAGATGATGAAGTTGATACCTGTCCTGTATGCGATATCGACCTGGGTTGTCTGCCAGAGGAGAAACTCAGGTTAGTCTAATGTACTGTAGTTGGTGTGTCGTTAAAAAATCAGTCATTTAACTCTGGCTTTCATATGGATGAATGCATGCATGGATTACATGATTGCAATGGCATTCTTTATCAGTTTGGAAGATAAGGATTTAGGATCGAGACAGCTTATGTCGCTTCTGCCTAATATGGAACATTTTTCATGTCTCCAAATTAGACTAGAATCTTGTGTTACATTCAATTATGTGTATAGGGGATCAGGGTTCTGGCTGCAGATGTATGGGCGCCAAAACGTTTGATTTCTTAGCTAAGCTGAAAATTTTCCTTCCATACTCATCTGAGGTATCTTCCTGTCCAAAGGTTGTTTACGAGGAAGAAGATTTATGTTGAAGCCTGAATGTACTTTACTTAAACTGAATAGAGAATGTGATGTACCAACTGTATATTCTGTTAACTGAACAATAGAATATTGAATGATAAAGTGAATTAAGGTATAAATTGTCTTACAAAAAAAATTAAAGTATAAATTGTTGCCCGGATTTCGAAAGATGACCATGGAGCTGCTTGCTGTTGATCCTCTCTGAGACTTGAATTAATTTCCTTTTTCTTATTTTTTGTTTCTTGTTCCCTCCAAAATCCAAATACATTTTGGACCTTTAGACTGATGAGCACTGTTATTTCTTGGCTTCTCTTAACATACTTGGGGTGATATTTAGCTTGCACTGAAACTTTGCTGCCACTGCATTGGAAATATTATTCTTCATTTTCAAAAAGAAAAAAGAAAAGGAACAATAATGGAACTAAGTGTATCTGGTTTCCCTCTTGGGTGGTGTGAGTTGTCTATACTCAGTATGTGGGTCATGATTATTATGTAGGCCGGATCACAATCTGCAAGATATAAGAGCTAAAATATTTCCATCTAAAAGAAGAAAAGTTGAGCCTGCTACCGAAGTTGTCACTTCTGTCGCACTGCCAGCAAAGAGAAAAGAGAGATCCTTATCATCTCTGGTTGTCAGCACTCCCAAATTGCCCGTAGAAACTGGTTCAACCGGGAGAAGATCCAAAGCTGGACCAAGAAAACCTTCTGGGTTACGAGGTTGTAGTTTTACCACTGAAGAATCAAACAAAGATGAAGAAGAAGATTCTGCAGAAGCAGAAGATGATCATCATCCAATCAGCTCAAGCTCCCCTGAGTCCCAGAATAAAATTCCACAAAGGAAAAGGCAGGTAAAAAGGGCTACTATTTCTACTACCTGAATTTGTTTGTGATTCTAGCTAAGTACCACACTTTGCTACTTGTTTATCTCATTTTGACCGCTTCTTAAACTGGGTGGTGGCAGCAATCCGCTGCTGCTGAGCCTTCTAATGGGCAGCAACAAATGGATGGAAATGGTGAGGATGATGGTGAAGTAGTGGAAGGGAAAGCTGATCTGTGGACACCCTTAAACTGTCTAGTTGAAGCTGCTAACAGAACCAAGTCGTTGAAGTCAAACTCACAACAATTGCAGTCTGTTGCCAACTCAGAGATTTTTTCGACTGTACCTGATCTCGAATCCAGAACCCTAGATAAGCAATTGAATGTAGAGTCTCCTATTGTTGGTCAGGGTGGAGAAACATACATCCTCCATGAGAGCAAAAATAAAGAACCCGATCAGGGATTCAATGGTGAAGATGATGATAAGGGGTCAAATAATCCGACTGCACCACCAGTCAAGCGTAGAAGGTTAACCGCAGCAAGAAGAAGGGCAGCTTTGTCAGAAGAGCTCAGTGCCTCAGCACAGGCTGTACTGGATTCTACAATGAACAGGGCAAACCGGAGAAACTGTGCTGTTTGGTTCTCGTTGGTTGCCTCGGAGAAGTAATTTTCTCTAACTGTAGAAATCTAAAAGAAGCGGGAGCAGCCCACTTGGATGTGTAACCTTCTTTTTTCCTTCTTCTCTTTCATGGCTTTCAGGAGGGGAGATGCTTCACTGCCACAGATTCCTGCTTGTTACTTGAGGATCAAGTGAGTTCCAAAATCCCATTGCTTCACTACCCGTTATTGCATCAGTAATCAAATACACTCAGTTCAACTTCTACTTTCTACTTTTAAAATAATGGGACCAGGATTTACTTCGTCCTTTATATATTTTCATTCAATTTTCTCCTTTTTTATCTATTGAACTCTGAAGTTTATGGTGTCAGTTTGGTCATTTCAGACCACTCACAAAATTTCCTATCCATGAAAAGTCTCACAAATGTGAGACCACCTAATCGTTCCAGACTCATTTGCTTATTTTGATAATATTTCCACACACTTTACCTTTTACTATCTGTTTCAGTTGGCAACTTCTCCAACTGACATCCTACTCATTGAATCTAAGTATCTAACCGAGCCTTAACTTGTGACGTTAGACACTTAGATGTTGACTTTCTGTTGGGGTTATGTGGGAACAATGGCAGGGATGGTAAAATGCCGGTGTCATTCATTCAGAAGTACATTGTGAAGAAACTTGAGCTTAGCAGTGAGGCTGAAGTAAGTTCATATTATGTTTTGTCTGATTATGCTTCTCCGTGGAAGGAGTCATCATGAGGATAGTTTGTGTTAGTTAGTTTGTTCGTTAGTTAATTAGTTAGTTGAATGAAGGCTGATGTGGCAGTGGCGGTGGTTGTGACAGGTGGAGATAATGTGCCAAGGACAGCCGGTGGTTCCAACGCTGCAACTGCACAACTTGGTGGACTTATGGTTCAGGAATGCATCGACCAAGAGAGTGGAAGTACCTGTGGGTTCTTCTGCCAGGGACTTTGTAATGGTCCTGTCTTACTGTCGTAAACTCCATCAGCAGGCTTCTTAGAACGTACCCCCTACACATAGTTTTTGTGCCATCCTTCCTTCTGTTGTTCCTGCTTTACTTACTCTCATCCTTTCTCTTTTTGTTTTCTTTTCCCCCATAGTTTACGAAGTATACAAGTGTAAGGTCTATGATTAAATTTATTATATTGGTTAGTCACTTCAGTTCTTCATGTAATGTTCCTTTCTCTACGTAGGGTGATACAACAGTTGTTTGAGACTGGTATGCAATGTGCAGTCGTAATCTTGTAATAATCCAATTACGAACAAAAGCAAATGCATTATTGTTGAATATGTTCATTCAGTTCAGGTACCCAACATGAAACCCAGGCTTTTTTCAGACACGCTAAGGAACAGACGAATAGTAAAGAATAAAGCAATCTATCGAATCGCATTCATTAATCGCTTATGTACTAATTTGTATTTACTTTGTTTGCGGTACATAGATACAAAAGAATCAGAAGCAACTGATTGTTGCTTCTTCTATGGCACTGCCACACTGATACATTGAAAAAATACAGCGCAGTAGCCTACTCTGGGTTCCAACAATGAAATGGAATCCCATGTCGTGACTTTACATGTCAAAATTCTAACTTCAGATATAACTCTGTGTACAATTGAGGAAAATGGAAGCGAAGAATCAAGCAGCATCAGCTTTAGCCCACTTCCAGACGCTGACGACACCATTTGCGTCCCCTGTGAAAAACAAACCGTCAGGCCCACTTCGAATTGCTCTTACTTCCTTCTGTGAGTAAATCCTTCCACGCTCTTCGAGTGTTGGCAACTCGTATAACCCAACACTAGAGTTGCTCCACGAACAGAACAAGACTGGTTTTCCTTCGGAATCATTCATCCCACCAAGAGCAACTGCAGCACTTTCCTCTTCATGTGTGTACAAAAGGCTTATATCATCACTGTCATCTTCAGCGCAACCCCAGAACTTGACCTTCTTATCCAGTGAGCAAGACACCAGGGCCGTATTCCAGCAGATAACAGACGTCACAGCACCATCGTGTGCCTTGAGTGTTTGAATGCACTCCTCGGTGTTCAAATCCCACACCTTGATGGTCCCATCCATCGAACCAGAATATAATCTTCTATACAAATCACCATTTATGCTAGCTCTGAGGCAAGTAACTGCACTTCCATGGCCTCTTAGGGAAGTTGCAGGCTGCTGAAATTGGGGATTGGCCTGCTGATCAGCAAATCCTTTCCAAACCAAAATTGCTCCATCTTCAGCTCCAGCATACAAGGCATCCAACCCAAACTCCAAGGCATTGACTTGACCATTTGAACTTGTGAGGTCATGATAAACCCCTAATTTAAAGTTCCATGCTTTGACACCATTGGGGTAACCAACAAACACCCAATCTCCATCGCTGATCAAACATCCGATCTTGTAGTCACTAACATTTGCAGTCCCGGCAAGCAAACCAGTATGGCAATCCCAAGCACGTACCACTCCACCACTGGTTGCTGAATATAGCTTGTCAGATCCTGCAGGGTACCCAATCCCAGAAATAGACTTCTTTTCACCGTCATGCTCTTCTTCAACTAGTCTTGCTAGCATTGAAAATCCATCTCCACGGCACCATGAGTGTAGGAATTGACAGTTCTCCCCTCTGCCACAATTTCCAGACATCCAATCTTGACAACAAGCAGCCTCCTTCTCTTCAGGGTGTTCACTAGCAGTGGGGACGACAACTACAGCAGCAGCTTCTGCTTCTGGCTTCGGAGAACTAGCAGCCTCCTTCTCTTCAGTGCGTTCACTAGCAGTGGGGACGACAACTACAGCAGCAGCTTCATCTTCTGGCTTCAGAGAACTAGTAGTGCTTTCAGCAGCTGGTTCAGATGGGGATTGAGATGGGAGTTCGAGATCAACAGATCTCTCTTGACTCTTCTGGGATGTGGCAGCAACTACCTCAGTGCTTTTGGTTCTCTTGGAGACCCTATCTTCTTCAGGGGATGATAGCTTCCTCCGCAGAACACCAGGAGCCAAAGCTTGAGTCTTTTGAGTTTGAGGTGCACGATAGACATTGGACCGATGACAATTCGAAGATGGCGGCAGAGGTTCCACCACCTTCGTTGCAGCCGGCTGCGGATCTCCGTGCACGAACCTACAAGGGTTTCTGTTACACCTTCCTTGTCTCCAGTAGCGACACACACTGCTGCGACTACTCTTCATCGGCATTCCTTCTCCAGCTGCTTGTGGATTACGGATCATCATCATCCTTGTACTGAAACAAACAAAGAACGCGGCGACAGAGTAAATACACGGACGAAACCCTAACGAAGAAAACCCTAAAAGCACCCGGCGACAGAGCGGACGAACGGCGAATCAGAATATCGGCGATCTGAAGAAACCCACCTGAGAGACCCCGGTCGGCAAAATCCACAGACGAAAGGCGATCGACTGACGCTTCCGCAAACCCTAGAGCTTCAACGAACGGGTTGGGACACCTTCGGCGGCCGAGAGAACGCACACACGAATCGCGATTCAATAGAAACTGGGTTCTGAAACCCTAACGATGGCGGAGAGAATTTGCGAAAGAAAAGAGGTGAGAGAGAAAAAGGAGTGAGAGTGATTGTGAGATTTGGCTGATGGTAAGGTGGTTTTATAATGTACTCAACAATGCAAGGTCGGTGATTGCCTCCGACGATAGAGCAGGGTGTGTGCTTTCCTAAAGCAGTTAGGACGGCGGGAGTTTCCTTCTCCGAGGCGGGTTCGGATTTCGCTGCTCCTTTTCCTGCTCGGTTACTGAATGCAATAGATAGTTGATACTTGCAGAGAAAGTAATGTGATTCAACTTTCAAGTTATTAATAAAAAAAGCTTCCTAATTATGACATTATAAGTTCATGTTAAATACTTAGGGGGAAAAATATGTTAAGCATTGTTATATTTGAGAAATTACTGGATTATATAGTCGAGAATATTAAAAGATATTGAAAAATGGTTAATTTTTGGTTTAATACACTTGCATAGCCATAACTATTCACGTTTTGACAAATATAGCCAAATTTTGAATAATACACTAAAATAGCCATTCCGTCCATAAGTTTAACGGAACAATGATACATGCTGACTGGACTAATGTCATTTGCTGATGTGGCTGACTTTTCATCTTGATCTTGCCAAGTTGGAAATGACTTATTTTATTATAATATTAAATGGAAAAAATTAAAAATAATAAAAAGAGACTTGAACTCCTTCCCTGCCATAGCATCCCTTCCCGTCGCCGCCTCACCTTCCCTGCCATGACATTCCTCCATGTCGCCGCCTCAATATACAAACCCAATGGAACAAAAATTCCCCAATTCAAAAATTCTCAGGCAGCTCGGGAAGGCGAGAACAAAGATATAAGGGGTGGGTGGCGGAAGGAGGGGGAGCGGGTCAGCGATTCCCAGATCTCTCTCCCAGCAGATGCGGGTCGGCGATTGTCAGATCGACGATTCCGAACTGTATAGCACATCGGAGTGGTTGTGGTTGTTCTAGGGATTCTTAGCAGATGCGGTGGTTGAGATCTAGCTGGCGAAATCTGGGTGAGATCTTCGACCCCACTCTCTCCTTTTGTTGCTCTCCCTCTCCTCCAAGACGATTGTCGCTGCTACGGCCGCCGCCAATGTCACCCCATATGACATCATCCTTTAATGGGTCGCCGTCGTTGTTGTCGGGAACCAGCTTCCCCATCCCTTCTATAATTAACCATGCCTCTCATCTGAAAAGGAGAAGGGAAAGTAAAGACGACGAAAGAATGGCGGCGGCTCATCTTCATCGAGCTTCTTCTGCAGGAAGAAAAGAGGGGAAGATTGACCCAGTTTCAAACTCATCAAAATCGGAAATGAGATGGAGATTTGGAGATCAATTAAGATTTGTTGAGGTTAGCAAGAGATTAGCTTAGCGGTTGCAATGTCTTAAATTGGAGAGGCCGGCGGTGACAAGGGAAACAGTCACGTGGAAGCTAAGCAGGGGAGAATCTCCGACGGCGCCGATGGGGGACGATGGGGTCGTCGGTGGGAAAGGGACGAGATGGAAGAAGGAGAGCCCGATGAGAAAAGTGAAAAAAGAAATAATTTTGAAATGATAATTTTTATTTTATTTTAAATATGATGTGGCAGTTAGGTGGCATGATTTGTTGTGTTGGAGGTGATGTGAGAGCTGATGTGGCATCCACATTAGTTTCATGTTAACGGTGTTAAATCTTTTAACGGAAATGGCTAATTATGTCAAAGGAATTTATAAAATGTGGCTATAACTGTGTATTTTTTTAAAAGTGGCTATTATTGTCAAAACGTGTATAGTTATGGCTATGCAGGTGAATTAAACCTTAATTTTTTCATAAACCAACATTCTTTGTGGTGCTACACTAACTTCTCTAGGTCATATATAAACACAAAAACTAGCAACTCAATACAAGGTGAGTACGGATATACATATAGGAGAGTGCAACACTATTAAAAAAATTGAAAATCTTAGCAGATTTACAAGCATAATAGTGTCCCCAAGGTTTAGAAAATTTATCGACATAGTAAAAATATGATCAAAAGAAATCATACTATCAAACCCACCCTAGAGTTTAAAATGGACAATGTGTAGATGAGTTTTAACTTCCTATATTGTCTTATTAATTGTTATTCATATCTATGTACATGTTGTCACTACAAGAAAGTGGCTCGGTTATCTAGAAAGAGTATGCAAGTTACATTATAGATTGTTGTCATGATTATCGTTTACAATCATTAACTATACATGTATTTTGGCATTGGTGATCTCACAGCATATGAATAATAATTTCTCATCATCTCATAAGCACAAATAGATAATATAATCAATGCCAATAAACAATAAAGATAGAAAACAACTCAATCATGATATATTATCATCCGTACATCATTAAAACAATCTTTCGACCATGTAGGATTCACAAACCTACACAACATAAGGTTCTAGCCACTCATGTTCAAAGGAAACCGTAAAAAGATCTGTTTGTAAGATATTAGACCTAACTTTCTAAACACTACAGAAAAAGATCCTTTAAACACGGGATATCCTGTATTTGAATGTGTGTTTCCCGTGTTTAATAGGTTTAGTCATGGGAAAATTACCGTAATATATACCTCTGTGTCTAATTGTAAAGGTCACAGGAAAGTGGTCCCGTGATAATTTCACCTATTAATCACGGGGAGACCCATGACTACTACCAAATCTTGACACACAAAGCCGACAAAAAACTCATTTAAAGACGGGATGTACACATTTTAACACAGTATTTACCGTGATGAAATTGATTCCCGTGACTAGATGCCAATCATTTGTCACGGTATTAGACTTGTTCTCCTGTGTCTAGATACCAACAATCGGTCATGGTATTTTGGTATAGCTAACTATCAATCACTAGTCACAATATTTTCACATGATACATAAAATTTCATATATTAAGTAGTAACAGAAAATTGGAAATGCCAATTCTCATAACATGAACTTATAACATTATTGTCAATACAATTACTTCAAAACAAGACAAGAATTCTCTAGCCATAAAGCTTTCTCTTCACTATGATCATTAAACGAAACCACAATATTCATCTCTACCAACTACCATCAAAAGATAAATAAAAAAAATCCAGCAGCTTCTTATAATGATGACCCTGCTGTCACCATAACAGGAGCACAAAACATAGGCACAATATCTTAGTGGCTGCTAACATAGGCAACCAGGGGAGTTGCACAGGCTTTGAAGCTTTCTTGCATTTGCCATCTCAGCTCTTAGGAGTAAAGTCATTGACTTGTTACTACAGAGAAAAGATATACGAGATAAGCTGCAAAAACCAGCAAGAAACCAAAAGCTATACAAAAACTGTAGAAACCCAGCATCAACCAAAAGCCTATAGAAAAACAGAGCATCTCAAGTTATGCATTTTTCAGCTTTTGAAATAGAACTTGCACATATAATTAATCTAAACACAATACTTAGCATCACTAAACTAACATCCTTCATACATAGCTTTGGAATCTTCAATTAGACAAGTACCTTTTCCAAATAAGGATTTTGTATTACTTGTACAAACTCATGCCCACCTAATATAATTCATCACTTACAACAATAGAGTAGTACAAGGTAGAGACTTGCCACGGCTACCATTGGAGGAATTGCAGAAGGAGACTAAAACTTCCAACACTAGGGTTGCCCATTGAACTTGGATCATGTTAAGGCTTAGTTAGGACATATTGAGCACTAAAGTTTAATTAGAACACATATTAACCTACTGCAATACTCATGTTGCTGCTACTTCTACTGCTTCTGCTGCTACTACTGAAACAAGCTACTGCTGCTGATAATAGTACTTCTACTACTTCTGCTGCTGCTACGGAAATAAGCTTGGTCTAGCAAAAGAAAAGAAGTGGAACTATTAGAGCCCTTTACATGGTATTAAGAGATTATAGAGAAATAGTTTAACACGCTTTCTTGTAATGTGAATGAAAGGGAAGGAACAAATAGTTTTCACTTAGTTTAGTGATGACTGAAGCTCACAGAACATGGCAGGAAATAGTTTGAGACACTCGCGACTTTGAAACCAACAGCTAGCACCATTAAGAACAATAACATCTAAAACCACATCCAATAACTCAAAGAAATATATACTACCTAGCGCCCCTCTGGAAACCATATCGGCCACAATTCAATGCAGTCCCTCTAAGTATCAAAGCTGCATTATATTAAAGCAAACTTCAGAGTTAAAAGCTTACCATAACCATAGTAATACAAAACTATGGCAGTGTGGAACAAGCCATAAACAATACGAGTGAGCAATATGAATTTAACACACAAGCGAGAGAGAAAAGTCGCTGAATCTTAAGGGCATCAATTTCAGTTCATGATTTCGAACCAGATCTGGAAATTTATTAAGAACCCTAATTTCGTGATGTATGGACTGGTTTTCGGATAAACCAAGGATTGAAAAGAGGAAAACAAATGGAGAATAAACCTTCAGCAATTTCGTTGACGGAGCGTTAAGGTAGAAAAAGCGGCCGAGCTCAGGGGAGGAAGAAGCATTGTTAGTGAGCAAGCTAGAGTGACCCAACTCGGATCTGGAGGGCTGCTCGGATTCAAGCAGAGACCTGAGAAAATATATTGAAGAAATCTAATCTCCTCAAACAGAACCATAATATGCTGCAAAGTAGACAA